AAGCTCATGACGTGTTACTAGCGTCACATGACTTTCGCTGTCGTAACAAATCTATATTGTAATTACAAGAAATGTAAATAAGCTTATGTCCAGTATTTAAGATGTAATAACCCTGTCTTACAGAAGATGTACAAATGGCGTCTATAGTTTGCAGATGCTACATATTCAACTCTCATGTAGCATCACATTTATTTTTTTAAGTTATAATTCGGGTGTGGTAAATCCGGGAGAGGTTAAGTGACAATTCAACTGTAGGTGTTACTATCTGTTGCAGGATGTGGTCAATGAGGCTATTTACTGTTCCTTGAAATAATTCTATTGTATCCTGCAGAGATGCATCCAGATACTCGTGATCAATTTTCTGATTGATCGACTACAGATACAGAAAGAATGTGGTTCGTAAGAGTATTTTGCCATGTTTAGTCCCATTTAGTCACTTTTATTTCCCTAACAAGAATCTGCACCTGTCCTTCAAAAATACCAGTATCTGCGAGTATTAGCCCTTTATTTCCCTAACAAATCTCTGCACCTGTCCTTCAAAAAATACCAGTATCTGCGAGTATTGGTCCTTTATTTCCCTAACAAGTATCTGCACCTGTCCTTCAAAAATACCAGTATCTGCGAGTATTGGCCCTTTATTTCCCTAACAAATCTCTGCACCTGTCCTTCAAAAAATACCAGTATCTGCGAGTATTGTCTCTTTTTCCCTAACAAGTATCTGCACCTGTCCTTCAAAAATACCAGTACCTGCGAGTATTGGCTGTTTTTGTCCCTAACAAGTCTCTGCGCCTGTCCTTCAAAAATACCAGTATCTGCGAGTATTGGCTGTTTTGTCCCTAACAAGTCTCTGCACCTGTCCTTCAAAAATACCAATATCTGCGAGTCTCTCATTGTTGGGTGATCGGGTAACAATGTGCTAGGTCCATCCTAAGTATTGGTATACCATCCAATATTTTCCTTGTTTCTGCCTTAAACACATACGTTATGTAAACAGCCTAAATAGAGCAAATTATTCAGATATTAGGACACATTAAGGAATAATTCAGTTTGAAATGTAATATTTTAACAGTGTTAAGATTTGTGAAAAATAACTTTAAAAAAATATAACCACGTGTTTTAATAATACTTGTTTAAATTTGACTCACCGTTACGGGGCTGATAGGTAGAACACACGACACAATTTGACGCTTGGTTTGTTGACGAAGTGTTCTCATCGTTTCGGCTGCAGGACAACAACAACAAACAGATCGTTTAACATCGTAAAATGTCGTCTGTCTTCGAATTTCAAGAAATATAAAGCTTGCAATCCTTTAAATTATAAATAATATAAACTTTCTTTTTCAGGTACTTTTAAAAGTTAAAACAATTAAAATACGTTTTTATGAAGAGAAGCTGTAAGTACGTTTTTAATAAATGCGTATTATTTTGGAAAATTTTAATAAAGCATACACAGATTACAGTTTTTAGATAAAAGTTATCAGGCTGTAAAATTTCACGACTTTAACGTGTTATCTTGATAAGCATAAGCCTACGCTTGGGACTGGGAAACGATGTGCTCACTTCATGGATTGGACCTTAATTTTTAGCGCTGTAAGCTCTCGCGCTTCCCACTGAGCCACCGTTGGGAACATAAGTCAATTGAAGCCTAAAATATCAAAAATATAACGTATAACGATCCAAAAATAGTCATACAAGGTATTATAGTTTCGAAAAGTTTCTAACGCAACGTATTCCAGTAAAACAAAATGGATGAAAATCAGCTGAATATATTCTAATACCTCGAGAAAATATCAATAATACACATCAAAGGTTCCTTTTTTTCTTCAACACTGTGAGAGTTAAGTAAACATTGGATAAAGAAAATGTGACCGAGAAACGTAGAAGACTTACAAACAGACTAGTGGATGATGGTTCAAACTCAAGATAGAGCAATGGTAAGAGGTAAACACTATATAGAGAGACCCATTGAAACATGGGTATTCTGAGCTATACTTTGCTAGATAAAATGCAGCCATACAAGTAGTTAACACGAGACAAATTTAAAGGAAGATTGACTCTTACAACTCGAAAAATTAGATCCACATAACTCCTGTACAAGAGAATAGGTCAGGTTCTCTAGATTTTGTTGAGTGACGTCACGAAGGGAGCTAGGTCGGATCGTCATCGGGATGATCGCAAGGAGACTGAGGACATCGTTGATCAGAGCACTGCTAATGTGATCAGCGTTCAATCTGTAAACATTGAAATATAGTTGAAATTAATATTATTTCCTTTCTTAAAATATTCTACATTAAACTATTATTCATGACTTCACATGATTGTTTTTTTTGTCGTTTAAGAAGACTGACTAGTTAAAAGAATGAATGTTTACCCAGTTAGGTAACCTTCGGTCATTCTGTCTACCACATCCTGAAACAAAGTCTGTGATCTTTCAAATAACCCTCCGTACTGGTCACTATCTAGTGTCAGGATCGTTGCCCTAGCAACTGATAAAGCTCGAACTGGATCACCTGAAAATGGATAATAAATATATGAATGCTTCCGACAAAGAATAGTTTGCTGATATCATATATATATAATACTAGCTAGAGTACCCATCCCCTGGACGGAGGTTATGTAAATTCATGATTAATGAAAGGTTATCTTAGGATATGAAAAGTTACTTCTCTTATTCGCAATTGTCAAAAACGCAAAAACTCCCATAAAAACTGCAAAACATAAAATACAAAACTGAATTTTTTATACATCTTCCCATGAACCCAATGAACTTCCATACCAAATTTGGTGAAGATCCATCTAAACGGAGAGAAGTAGTGATAACAAAAAGCAAAAACTTTCATAAAAAACGCAAAACAGAAAATTGTATGTACCCCCGCATGGACCTAATGAACCTCCATGCCAATTTGGGTGAAGATTCATCCACACTCTGCGAAGTAGTTATATGGACAAAGAACAGACAGTACTATTATATTTATTTATACACCTGGAAAAAAGTTAAGCACCCCCGTGTTT